GCCATGTTCCACACATGTTGTTAGCTTGAAGTCCAAGCTAACTATGTGGCCCACACATAGAAAAACTTGCCTTGTAAATCAAGGCATGTGTCTTACAAAGTCAACACATATTAGAGGTCCTATAAAACATTGCCACGTAGCCCCTAGTTAGATAGTATATATAGAGATAAGAGTGAAGCCTTCTTCACTCTTGTCACCTCCTTTCTTGCTTCCAGTCTAGTTTCAAGGGTCTCTAGTTTTCTTGGCTTTTGGCAATAGCCATTCCAATTTTTTTCTTAATATACATATCAAGTTATTTTTATTTTGTTATCTTTCTTTGAGAGAAGTCTCACTTGTTTATTTTTTTTTATCATGTTCTTGTCCTTGACATATATGCAACAATGAAGGTGCAATTAAAGGAAGCTCAAGAATAATAAAAAATTAAAAAAAATGTCTATTGCAAAGAACAACCACAATTCAATGTAAGTGATAAGGTATGATTACTTTGTTGCAATATCAAGACTACTTGTATTTATAACAAGTTGGACTATTGTAGGCTTAGATCTTTTTCTATTAGTGAACAAGTCAATCATGTTGCTATAAATTATATCTATTATAGTCTATGAAGGTCTATCTTGCATTTCACATATCCCTTCTTGAGCCATATAAGATAGTGAATATGTAGAGAAGAAGACAAATGCTATCTTCTTCTATAGAAGTGGATAATAAACAAGAGTTTGAAGTGGGAAAAGTTTTAGATTCAAGGCAAGGTTAAAATAGGTTGGAATATCTTGTTTATTGGCATAGATATGATATTAGTGAATGCACATAGAAGCTAGCAAAGCATCTTACAAATGTAGCAAAGAGAGTGAAAACTTTTCATTGACGACATCCATTAAAATCAAGATGAAGAATAACAAATCTTTATTATAAAAGAAAGAAGATAAAATAAAGATAATACTCTACCTTCTATCTTTCTTTGTAGCTTTTATAAATTTGTGATGCTAAGGAGATAGAGAATCAATAATCAGTAGATTCAATTCAAGAGCTTTAATTTATAAACTTACCAAATAATATGTTACAATTGTCACAACCTTTAAGATGATGAAATCGAGATGAAAATCATTAAGAACAAAATGTCCTTCTTTGAATAGGTGGCAAGATACAATGTGTTTGATATGACAACCTTAGAAGAGACTTTCAATGTTTGGTGATTTTATTAGACGTAGGAACAACTCTTGATGATGTTTCATATTCTCTAAACCCTAATTTATAAGCATTCAAGTACTATTTTTGCTATATCTCAAAAATAAAAAATTTAAATACCACAAAATTTATATATAAAGTCTAATAATATGATAATATATATTCTTATAAATTTGGAGCCAAAATCTTATCAAATAGCTCAAAATATAGCTCAAAACACAACCACTAGTAAATTGGATCACTTATTGCCCTTAGATTGTAAGCACTGACTTCAATTTTTTATATCTCTTTCATTCTAACTTAAAATTTATCAAGAAATATATGAAACATAAAGCCAAAAAAGTGTTCTCTCTAATCCTAATCACCAATCCTTCATTACTTCTTATATGTGTGTGTTATGTCCAAAAGAATGACAATAAATACAAAACCAATACCTCAACTTTGAGCACCTATATTTCTTTCATAAAAACTCCAAATCACATAAAATTTAAACCAAAACCATAGCCAAAAACCTAAAATTCTTGACTTCAATATTTTAAGTTTGAATGCCTTCGAAAGAATAACCCTAATCTCTAATAAGGCCTCAAATAGTCTCCTTGAAGTCCATTAGACATGCCTTCCAGTTAATAGCAATCAAGATTTTTATCATCCATCTCCATTCATCTATATGGATGCCCTAACTATTCTTTTTGCTACCAAAACCCCTCTCTAATCCTTTTCTTTATAAGCTTTATGTTATATATGTCCTAAATATTAAATAAAAGAAATATAACAATATTTCAAGAGTTACTAATTTCTAACAAAGGTGGCTCTAAATATATAAAAACTATTATTAACATAAAATCAATTTCAATAATAATCTTTTTAAACTAATTATAGTAATCTAACTATATTTTATAACTAACTAAAATCTAATAACATGGCTTTCATTACGTTATATAGTAAATTATATATTAGATATATATGTGCATTATTTTCACATAGTAACTAAATCACAACATAACATCTACCAAATTTTTGTCATTTTCTTCTTGTCCTTTGTTAGTATTAATCTTAATAATATTTAAAAATAGCCTCAATAATTGTCTAATAAATAAAGAGGTTTACTTCATATTACTTATTTACTTACTTATTACAAGTCCTCTTTCTTTCTTTCTTAATTAGTTTTTCTTATTGCTACTGCAAGTGAAAGTCGTGATGTGCTAAGTTTTGAACAAGAAATTGAAGCATCGATATATATATATATATATATATATATATGTGTGTGTGTGTGTGTGTACATGTCTTGAATTGCAACAAACAAGAGGATATCATCTGAACGATGTAGTCCCAATCAGCAACTTCTTTGAAGTTTTTATGAATTTTTAATAACTGACTATCTCAATTTTATATATTTTTATATTTTTATATTGTAAAAATTAAAACAAAATAAAATAAAATAAAATCCTTAGACTTTAATTTAAACATTCAAAGAAATCCCAACACAATTCTAAAAACGGTTTAGAAGTTGTGTCGGTTATGGAAGTTAGAGTAATAAGTTGTATTCAAAAAAGTCATTTTTAAGGATTCTTTTAAGAACTTGTATAAAAACTCAAATAATGATTTTGAGCCTTGCAAGTTGAATGCATTAAGAAATGATTGATTTTAACTAACTTACACAAATTTTATTCTAGGATCTCATCTTCCTCATGCTTTTCAAACTTTTATGTATTTTGGCATGGTTTTCAAGATTATAACAGTTTTTTAGAACAGGGTTGCAGTAACTAGTTTCAAACACATATCACTGTACAATACCAAATGAAAGCACTTGCATTACTTTTTAATTTCCCATCAAAAACTAAAGCTTTGTTTTTACATACCCAGAAATTCAATTGCTGGATATATATATATATATATATATAACTAATATTTTGCAATTGAAGTATCCTAGGAATGAGACAGGATGTACAAATCTGAGAAAGTTTCCATAAAGGCCTGACAAAAGTTATTATTTTTATTTTTAATATTTAGCTACAAAAAAGAAAGAAAGAAAAAATGACCTGTTTGACTTTTCTTTTCTTCTTTGAGGATACATTAAAATAATTCCTGTAGTATTTTTAATGAACATTTGGAATATTTTTTGAAGATCACATAAGAGATGCTTGAAAAATTATGTAGATCGTAAAACCTTTTTGAAGTGTTTCTTGGCCACACAACTTGACGTTGTTAAAACTTTCATGCACTTTTCTCAAGAGTTTTGAAACTGTTGATATCCAGAAGGGTAAAAAATGTGCTCATTACCAAGTTTTGTTGATAACTAACACAGTAGATTGAATTTTATTCATCTGTTTTCTTTCTGTTCTTTCTTTCTAAATGTTGTAATGTTTTGTGTTAGGGAAGAGAAAAATATATTTGCAATACTTTGAACGATTCTTCTTGGTACAAAGTTAAATTTGTACTAACATGAAATTCTTCTTTTATCAAGTTACAATATCCATCAACATTCTACCTTTAATAACTAAGTATGCATTTTAATGATTGGTAATTTTTTTTTTTTAATTACAAATCACTATGTTAAAAATATATATAGATATATATTACAATTTTTTATTAATATGATATTTATGTACAAGCAAAAAAAATCTTAATGTGTTTTGGAATTATAAATAAATCATATATATATATATATATATATTTACAGGCATTCATTTAGTATTTCTCTATTGCTTGAAAATCATAAAGATCAAACTAAAACACATTATCTCTATCTTTTTCAAACTCTCCTCAATCATAAATGATTTTAAGCATTAAAAGTAAGAATTTTAATTTTATGTTATACAGTACTTTAAGTCATTTGATTAAATCTGACTAGCATAATGGTTTAAAGTGCTTAAAATAGTTAGAATCAACCTGTTTTGAAACAAAGTTGATGTGACACTACTTGAGAAATAAAGTAGAATGATTAAGATGTTCAATTTCAATGTGAACAAAGCATTAATATGTTACATAGAAGCATTTAGATTTTATTTTATTTTATTTTTGAGATATTACATTATGTTCAGTGCTTGTTTAAGCTTAAATGTAATAACAGTTCGGATATTGCATGTAAAGGGCAATTTGTTTCATTAAAAAATTGAGAAAAAATTCAGATAGCAAGATGCAAAAATGAAAATTTAAATTTCATTCAATATGCTAGTTCTTTTATCTACGTGGCTACAATGAAATTGCCACATTTTATTTCAAGTCGTAGTTTTTTAGAATTAAAGCATGATTCAGCATTGTAACGGTATTCTTAACTTTAATTTTAAAACTAAAATACTGCATGAAGTACGTTTCTTGTATTGAATTTTAAATCATATAGTTTTGTATTATCTAACTATACCATTTTCAAAAAGAAAATAAACCTTTAAACAAAAATAAGTGTTATGATTTATAGCTATCAAGGCTGAATAATCAATGAAACAAAATTTTAAATGATAAGACCAAAAACCTTGATTAATCTTTATCTCTTTAAATTGATTCGTTGCTATTTTTATTCATTACACAAATATCCAAAAATGGAAGATCTAAGATGTTACTGTTTCGCTGCCTTCAACTGATGTCAAAATCTTCCAACTTTCAATATGAATTTGTTGTCAAAGTAGAAAATTGTGAAGGCATTAAATCATGCGTTTAAATTCTACTGGAAAATAAATAGAAAAAAATTATTCGAACGAGTAAAGTAGGAGACATGCATTACATATTCGAATTGTTGAAATTTTATTGTGGATTAGTTTCTTGCATTCAATTCATGCATTTCAAAATATATTATTTCAAACAGTGTTTGAAAACTCACAGAATGTTAACACCAATTCTATTCTAAATTTTTATAATACACAAGTTGCACAAAGAAGAGAATAGGCTTTGACCCAACTCAATATGGTATTCACCAACCCTTCATTAGTCTAGTTAACCCTAATTTATTGTAACTCCCTCCACAAGTATCTGAGAGGAATATACTAATAGATGCAAATTGTACCTGCTTTGACACATTGTATCCAAGACAGCATACAGACTTACCATTGACAACATCACGAATAAGAGCTATAGACATTCTACTGAAGAAATTACTTCTTTGTATATTGAATCTAGATCTACACATGTCTGTTGTCAGTGAAACTACATGGGTTTCGTCGCCAAGAGTCGGTGAAGTAGAACTTGCATTGGTCTGCATCGATATGCGTCGACAATCGATCACCTTCGGCAACGTTCGGCAGGTTTACCAGACAAGAACTAGATCTACCACACGAAGCTCGTGGTCGGTAAAGTTTCGGAAGCAGGAAAGTTACTCGTCGGCAACTCAGTACAACATAGGTGTCGGTATGATTCTTGCGGCTCAGAAGCCTGATGTGCTTGATTTTCCTGTTTCATGTCTGTCCGTGTCCCGAAAACTTGCAATACTTGTGGCGTATGTGGGAGAAAGTCAACATGGTTGTTGTAAGCTTCTGTGTGGAGCAACTTTAACGGTTGAAGCAGACCCAGGTGAAGATAAGGAATGCAGTGGACAGTTTTCTAAGGGTGGCTCTCCTGCACGCCGCGTGTTGTCAACAATGGACTGCCAGGAAGCAGCCTGTTTTCATTCGGGCATCACTCGTCCACGAGTTGGATCGGATCAGAGGACTGGTCATGATCGTGCGATGGCGCTGCCTATCGAGCATGTGAGTCATGGAAGTTCGGAAGTTGGAATGAAGAATCCCTGTCTCCACGAGGAAAGATATATGATAAACCGAATGTCGTGTCATTGCCCTTGCTCACTGGGGTCGAAAGCTTCTTTTTCCATGGATCAAAGAATCCACTGACGTCGTAACTAAATCGGGCGATCCGTCATCCCGACGATGACAAAATATGACCAAGTTTAGCGGGCATGACCCATCGGTACTGGACCAGGGTGCGCAATCGGGTTCCAACGGGAGAGATGAACCAGCATGAAATTAACGCCAATGGGTAGTTGCTGTTGTCTTCTTCCTAGAGAAACAGACTCGAGAATCTCAGGCAATTATGAAATAATGGCCTCGAGATTCTCGTGTTACAAAGCCGACAGAGTGCATGTTGAGGTGCTTACGAGTGAGAAACAAGGCATGGCTTGGCAGATGCAACAACTTTTTTGTTCGTTGAACAGCTCACGACTTCCAGCATCGAGTAAGTCGTGGATCAGCATCGACGTTGCAGAAGAGGGTTTGGAGGGATGGCGATTTGGAAGGATGCTCATAAAGCAGCCACCCTCTTGTTGATAACCAGATGATAGATGGGATGTTGTCCTCGGTATGAATCTGAGCATCTGTGAATACAACAGTTCGTTTCGGCTCAGAAGATTGCCAACCACATCATGCGCGGCCAGGTGACGAGCGCTGTCTTAGGAGGTGTGAGTACACGTCTCCTGAGATGATTCTAAAGCTGTAGAAGCGTGTTTCTGAAGGCCGAGCTTAACTGATGCTAAAGACGGAACTCGCAATAACCTCTTCGGGAAATCTTTCCAGTTACTCCAAAACACAGAAATTATTGTGCAACAGAATCATGCAACTGTCCAGGTCATCCCCGCGATAGGTGAAACCTGCCCTTCCATAGGATGATTTGCGTATCAACTGTATGGTTCTAAAACTGAGAATCGCAACGACGGCCACAGTGTAACCATGTTGTTCTCGATGGATAAGGACACGCAGGCTCTGCAATTGTGAAACCAGACGAATAGTTTCATCTAGAATGTCTCGAGCCGATAATCAGAGTGTGCAACGTACAGACAGGCTTTAGTTTCACATCGACACAGCTAGATGCCCCATCTTGTCCGCAGTGCACTCAGAGACCTGAGATGACATCGCCACTGATAAGGGTCTGTTGTGCGTCTCTACGAACTCCTTGCGGAAAACCAGCGAATCGAGAGGCAACTTAAGATATCTTGCAACCCCACATTCAAATTCCCCGCCACGTCTAGAAACCGAAAAACCAGCTGACCATATCAGCGCAAAGCATCCAACCATCGCATCAGCAGAAACCGCAAAATCCAAACCTGTCAATACCCCACAGCTTTTTTCCCGATCCCTGCACGAGGTTGCGCGCTCTAATCCATCAATCCCAAATCAGTTCCCTCTATGAGCGCAACTTTCGACTCCGCCGCGCGAAATGGCTCCACTCGCGTGTACCTTGAGGGATTGTTTCGTTCAGATCTCCGAGACATAGCTCCAATCGGGAGCTTGAATTTCTCACTTCAACCGTCTGTGATCACTCCAAGCTTGCGATCCCATCAACCAACCCTTCTCCCGAACACGACGAGGCATGAATCCCTTCTCCATTCTCACACAATCAGCCCCCTTTTTCTAAGTCAATCTGACTTCGATCGAGGCGTCGTCAACGCCGCTTGTTTAGTCGGTGAATTTATCTCGAAACCACTTGATGTATTTCAAAGGTCTTTTTTTAAAAGAAATAAATGTTATCTGTCACTTTACTGTGCAGAATATACACTGTCACAATTGCTTATTGATGTTTAGAGTTGGAATTTTTGTGGTTTATTAAGTGCAAACTTTGTACCTAGAGAGTTATTGCAATTAAAGAACTTGAAGTTTGCGACAAAATGATTATTAAAAAACATCTTAAAAACTCGGTGCATAGTAAGTTGATTTAATTAACATTTGAGTTTCTTTTTTGAAAACGTGGCAGGAAACAAATAAATAAATGTATAAGTACATACATATATATATATATATATATATATATAGTTAATGAAAGCCTTTGTCGTTGTATGAGATTTGAAATCCAAGCTTTGTCAGGTCCAATTAGTATACAGAGACACATACGTGTGGTGTTATAAAATAGGTCTGTGTTGTTCCAAAATATTCATACTTAAAAATTGGCATGCATGTATTTAGGGAAACAGGATTCAGATAATATATTCAAAATGAAAATATACTTGAAACTACAATTTTATTAACTATCTTCTTTACGAAATAAAATATCAGAATTTGCTCACAGTCAAACTGGCTAACTTTTTGAATTCCCAGTTGTGTATATGTTTTCTGAAAATCATGTGTTATATATATATATATATATATATACATACATACAGAATAGTTTTTAGTTATGAAACTTAATTGTCAAAATTAATTTTTATTTTCAACAAGAAATATTTAATAACTCACATCTGATTTTTTTTTGTTGAAAAATAAATATATAAATAAATAAGTGCGTAAAATATATAAGGTATTATTGTAAATATTTACATTATACAAAGTGTTACATAGCAACATTAAATATGAGTAATAAACTTTTTAGATGTATTACGTTTCAATAAATTCATAAAATAATCCTGTGCATGAATTTGTAGCGTAAAAACATTCACATATCATTTCACAAAGTTTTATTTTATTTAATTTTTTATTAATTTTTTTTTTTTACTCATGCTCTGAATGAAAGTTTTCAGAGAATCATCAAAATGATACAATTATTAAACTGATATTCAAATTATACCAATATCAGAAAGAAAAGCTCAACTCTTTAAAGTTCAGACATGTTGGGTTCATCACTCACCACATACATCAGCACCCTTCAAAACACACACACACACAGTCAATGAATGCACTTTTCCCCAAAGGAAGGGGATCGCACTTTATTTTGAAATTATTATGAGTGAACACACACAGCAAAGAGAAAGAGACTGTAAAATCCAGAAATGATAGAGATGTCATGCTTTTTTCACGCATTTCATCATCACGTGCTATGTACTACAACAAGGGATTTACAAACCATCTGAATTCCACAATCATACCCACAAAAATAAAAAATAAATAAGAAATAAATTCTAATGGACACAGAATGTAAAAAACCCGGATACATATATATATATATATATATTAAAAGAGAGAGAGAGAGAGAGAAGTCAGTTCTCACCACAAGTAATGAAATACCACATACACACACTGCAGTGTGCGAAGGTCCCCCCTAGCTTTTGCCTTTTACTGTTTACCTTTTTCGGCCTCTGTCAGAGGGAGCGAGAGAGAGGGTGGAGATGGCCCCGAGTCCATTAAAGCGGGTGGGGATCCTGGGTGAGAGGGGGTCAAATCCCGGCCACACGAGTGCCAGCCGTAAAGTTATGGGCTCCCCACCAATCTCAGCCCTCCACGCACGTAAGGTGGTCGCGGGGCGGGCGGGCGGGCACGGAAAAGCGGGCGGCAACCACCGGGAACAGCCGGTCAGAAACCGGGCAAAGTCAGTCAGCAAAGGCTGTCTTGCAGGAGTAGCAGGGTTTGGGGGGGGGGGGGGTGGCGTGGGCCTCGGAGAGGGGGAAGGGGGTCTCGATTCCATTCTCGCAGCTCGTGGTTTTTGTTGCCTGGTTTCGACGTCCCGATTGATTTCCTCTCTTTCCGTTAATTGCATCCCCTTCCTTTTCGAAAATCCGTCTCTCGCGACGCTTGTGAATTTCGGCAACTCAGGGACTAGCAAAGGTAATTCGTTGCACAGGTGGAGGGAGGTTCTGGTGTGCGAAGCTCGAATGCGATGGAGGGTGGGCTTGATTCTTCGTGGTGTGTACGTGCGGGCATTCGGAGAACCTTAGTCTTGGTCAAGCTCTAACTGGGTTGTGGAGAGTAGATTGGTCACGAGACGGAGGGAGGTGGTGGGGATGTAGCAGCGTGTATGAGCTTCGCGGGGAATTGGAGTGCGGGGTTCTCGTTGTCGGGATTTGGGAGTGCAATTTCGAGGGATTCTATGCAGTTGTTGTAGAATCGAGGAGTTTCCGAGGGGTGGGGTGGGGTGGGGTGGAATTTTGATGGCTGCAACTATAGGGATTGGTTCAGGTGGAGTACAGGGGAGGGGGGAAGTGGCTGGACACCTTTTTATGAAGTTGTGTGAGGTCATGTGTATTTGTCTGTGGAGTTGCGTTTGTGGAATCGATGACTTGGAGATTATTTTTAGGTTTTTGGGGGTCAGGGTGATGGAGCTGTTGTATTCACGTACAAGGGTCCAAATATCTTGTTATTCGAGGACTCTTTTCTAAAATTTCGCTCTTGGGTCGAATTGCGTGCGTTTCTGATCATCTTAAAGTAGTTACGTGTCAATTTCAAACAGTGGATCGATTGGGTGGTAGGGATTGCGTTTGATAGGTGTCAATTACTTTCTGGGTTTCTCATGGTCTGTTATATGGGGCTTGTTGCCAGGTCTCTTGGAAGCGATGTTGGTGTTTGGCGATCTGTTTATTGATATTGATTTGCGTATGAAGGACCACATGTGGAGCTTCAGGCTCCTACCTGGTTGGAATCCTGTCTCGCATTTTTTGAGTTTATTTTGTCCGAGTTTCTTACAAGAGTATTGTGGCGCCTGCAGATGTTCTAAACTTCTGTTGGGGTTTCCATTGGTGATTCTTGCCTGCAGCAGGGTCAAGAAGAGCTGATGTGAAAGAATGATTACCCAAGAAAAACAAACCTGTATCAAAGTTTGGCTGCGTTATGAACTGGACTGCTGGAATTGGAAGAAGAAGCAGGGTGTGTGCCTGAATGATGATGTTAGAAGTCAAGCAAGTGCTAGCTCATATCTGATTAGACTGGACTGTGGCATCAGGAATCAAATGCTATTAGAATAGCTTCCTGTGATATATATACATATTAATAATATTTGTACATAAAAAACACTAGTCGGTATAATTAATCATCATCACACTACGCAGCGTAATGCCCAAGATTGCGGAGATCTGGGGGAAAGGATACAGGATTCTAGAGGATCAGCATTGAACCAGTTGGATTTGAGTTTAGGAGGAAGACATTGTCGGCGCCATGAACTTGCATGAGGCTAGGGCCGCTGTTGTCGCAATAGGTTCAGAGGCCTCTATTCACGGATGGGCTGTCTTGATAGCTGGAGTGTTTGTCCTATTTTCCCTTTCACTCTCATCATTTCTCCTCTTCGATCATCTGTCGGCTTACAATGATCCAGAGGTCTGAAATCATTCTCATTCAATTCTTGTACTGTATCGATATCCTTGGTTGCAGCCACTTGAACGTACCCAGCATCTTGGCTTTGTTGTGAGCATAGAATTTCAAATCCTGCTCTTACTGCATTAAATCTCAGGCCCTTTCTACAAGTTCCGGTGAAGTAGTTTTCATTCATACCAATGTTATAAGGATATTAGCTGCAAGGTCTCTAATCAATTGTTAGGATTTTCTCAGGAGCAAAAATGGATAATTGGCATCATATTCATGGTTCCAGTCTACGGAATAACTGCAGTAAGTGTATTACGTCCTTTCTGGTTGTGACTGTCAATTTTCTGTGACGGAAGTTTGTTACTTTTGGGATTGCTAGGTTGATTCTGTGTTGAGAGTGCCTTGTGATGGATTAGCGCTAATTCAGACACTGCTGTGGCGAACAGTTCATATCACTTTGGAAGCCGAGTCTTTCGCTGCAATCCAGCATTCTGGGCAACATGTACGAGGCTTATGCGCTTTACTCTTTTGGATGCTACTTGATAGCATGCTTAGGTATGTGGATTACGTTCATTGTTTTCTTGCTTTTGTATTTTTTACTTTTAGGTTTTTGAAATTTAAGAAGTAATTAATTGGAGTGTTTTTAGCAGTAGAAGAGTATGCATAGACTGTTACGACTTTTACTGTTCTGGACATAACTTTTCTACTTGTTCGAAGGATGTACGCAACTCCTCTCGCTTTAATATACTAGTGGGATGTATTTATTTTCTCGATTAGCGAAGCCGTTCTTTTTATGCATAAACCCTTGAAGCTGATGTCTTGTGATTGTTTCAGGTGGGGAGGATACAGTGATACGAAAATTAGACAGACAGGGGCTGATGGGACCGAGTACACCATTGTTGGAACATAGTGCAGGAATCAGAGCTTTGGTGCAGCATCCCGCTCCTTTGAAGTGGTGTATGGATCCGTGGGAATTAGGGCGTCCTTTTTATAACGCCGCGAAGTTTGGCATAGTACAGTATGTAAGTTTCTTTTGTTATCGGTTATTAATCTTCTGTTTTATGAAATTTCTTTTATGAATATCTCGACTAGTAGTGGGATGCTGGGTTTATTTTCATCTCATTTTTATCTAGTGTGGAAGTTGTTATTGAGAGCATAGGAACAGGGTTTTTACAATGGTACCAAATATCCTTTCATTGACCTTGGATCGATTTTCATCAATGTGAATCAAAATTTTGACGGTTGCTTGCATTTTTGTGAAGCTTTTTCTTGAATTCCAAATGCTTCACACGAATTTTCGTTGTTTTGTGTCAGATTTGATTTCTTTATCATTAGCTTTTTCTTCAGTATGCATGCTTCGATTTAATTTAGTCAAATTGGTATCAATGTACAGATGATATTGAAAACAGCTTGTGCCTTGGTAGCACTACTATTGGACCTCGTTAACCTATATGGTGATGGGGAGTTCACATGGTACAATGGGTAAGTTGACATTGTAACCAGCATTCATATCCTCCGGAAAAAGTGTTGTTGTTGCAGCAGCGTTTCTGCTGTCTGTGCGCTTCTAGTCAATCTTTGTGCTTTATACTTGTAGATACAAGCAGCGAGTCACGTTCAAGGGTGGCTGTATTAGCATAGTGACGTCCTCTTGGTCTATTTGCAGGTACCCCTACATAACGGTGGTTCTTAACTTCAGTCAAACATGGGCACTTTATTGTTTAGTACAATTCTACTACGTCACCCACGAAGAGCTGCGGGATATCAAGCCATTGTCCAAATTTGTGTGTTTTAAATCTATTGTTTTTGCTACCTGGTGGCAAGGGGTTTTGCTAGCTTTTATCTTCTCATTACCTTTGGCGAATTCGTGGGGCAATATTCAAACTAGCCTTCAGGATTTTATAATTTGTATCGAGGTATGTCTCTCTATACTTCATATGATACATGTTGGGAATCATTATAATGTACTCGTGCATGTTAGTGGGAACAATGGCGGATTCTGAATTTAACCATGTACCTCTACTGTTTGATCAACTTCTTTTGTTCCTTTACCGTGATGTCATGGCACAGATGGCGGTTGCAGCTGTAGCTCATTTATACATATTTCCTGCAACACCGTATCATGATCTGGAAGGTGGAAAGGACCGCAGTGTGAAAGTACTTGCTGATTATGCAGCGTTTGATTCTCCTCTTGATCCGGAGGAAGTCAGAGAGAGCGAGCGACCATCTATGGTTAAGTTCTTCGGTGTAGATGTAGAGAAGGGAGGCACCAGTGTCAAAGAGAGTGTCCATGACGTGCTTGTAGTTGGCGGAAACCATGTAAGCATTTTTCTCATATCCAATAACCTACCTACTTTCATCTGCATGCTGTTAGCATTCTTACCACTGCTACAAAGACATAACACCTTCGTTTCATGCTTCTTTTTTTTTTTCTTTTTTTTTTTTTTGCTTTGATACTTTCGGAACTCTCAGAATCTCTCCAGTAATTTATCTGTGTATGTGCCTGATAATGGGTTTTTCTTATTTCTCTTTTAGGTGGTGCATGATATGAAGGTAACCATGTCTCAAGCAGTGGAACCCGTAGAGAAGGGTTTCACGAGGATAAATGAGACTATCCAATTTTGGGGTGGGAAGCTAGAGGAGAAAAAAGTCCGAGTGACCAAGGATGATACCTGGGTGGCCTCTCAGACAACTTCGTACTCTGAAGATGTGAGAGGATATGATGACCCTCTGTTAACAGGAAGCGTTAGTGACAGTGGGTTCTGGCGAGCAAGGAGGTCAAACTATGGTAGTGCTGAGAGTAGTGGCGGAGAGAACAGTGATTCTGGATTTGGGGGTTTTAAAACAAGTGGCAAGCGCTGGACTATAAGAAGGTGACACCTGTGGAGCGCGAACATAGTTAGTTGTGTCTTCCTTTACCTTGCTGCTATTGTTATTTAGAGTATTAGAGTTCGAATTCTAGTAAGAAATTGGCCTCATTAGCAATTAACTTGTGAGCAAAATTGAGGTTGAGGGGCTCTAATCCGATCCCCTTGTACATTATCAATAATGTCTGGGACCGTGAGTGTGGCATCCACCTTGCTATTCAGAATCGATATTCGATGTTTGATTTGGGAGCCTTCAATCACTGTCACTGACATGTTAAGAATGGTATTAACATTTTTTTCCTTGTTGATTTTGTGGATATCTCCACTTCAATCATTGCTAACAATAATAATTATTGGATGTCACAAGATCATCAATTCCATGATTAGTTGTTTTACTTGTCCTCTAACAAACTTGTCGATAGTTGTCACAGGTCGATTTCATTTTTTGGATGAACGTCTCGGAGTTTTTAAAGATTTGTTTTGTATGCTTTTATCACTCCAGTTGATTGATAAATTATTAAGCCATTGAGCTTGTGCTATCTGAGTGGTGCTGATGGTCCCTATGATTGCTTTAATGGTGGGTCAATTATAGGTGATATTGCACAGAAATTACAACCTAGTCTTGTAGTTGGGTTTGGGGTTAAAACTATATTGGCTTCAAATTAGTTTCTTATTAAGTAAAAGAATATGTACATATTGATTTCTTATTTACAATTACATGCAATATATTTTTGCATATGTGAGGAACAATTAGTCAGTGCAATATATTTTTGAGCTGTATAAATTTTTGATGAGTCAAAATATTATGTTGAGAGATTTTTGCATTAAAATTATTTTAATTCAAACAATAACTAAATTTTATGTTCATTTGTGTAAGCCATAATGTTTGAACAATACACAAATAAATGGTTAGAATGATAAATAAAATATAAATAAATAGAAAGTAGATTAATGTTAAAATGTTTCAAAAAAGTCTTTGAAATAAAGAAATAAATTATAAGAAAATTATGATAAGTAAATTATATAGACAATTTTTTATCAAAATATAACAACAAAAAAAATTCTAACAAAGGATATATAACATTTGCACATATTTATGACCATTTTAATCTTAGAACAATGAATTCTATAAATAAAAATATGTATCAATATAAAAAATATTATTAGATATTTTTACATAATATTTGCAATACTAGCCTAAAAATTAGAGTACTATATTTAGTAATAAAATACAAATGCTAAATTTCATTATTTTATTAAATATAATAGAACTTTGAATATTAGATGCAACTAAAAAATTAGTGGTATTCCCAATTATTAGACATCTATGAGAACTATCTTCATTATGCTTTGAAAACCTAATTTTGCAATTTTGATTACAGTTCTTAATGTAATATCTTCTTAAATTTTGTTTATTTTATGATTAATGTGATCATTTATTCTACTCATAATCCTGTTTTAATCTTTAAATATGTTGACTTATTGTTTTTATAAGAATGATAATTTTTTTAATAGTTTCATATTAATACTATTTTTATTTGAATTAATCTTAGAATAATACTATCTCGTTTTGGATCTTTATTATTCATTAAAATAACATTTCTTTTTTTGTATCAACCCAATGATGACATTTGCAAAAAAAAATATTTCATAGTCTATTTTATTCCTAGGTATTAGAGTTTTTAATATATCATTAAAGAATCTTTTTAAACTATTTGTAAACATCTAATATAATACTTCTCCCAAATATTTAAAATAATTTTTCAAAAAATTCACCTAGTAGGTCATATGATATTGCAATGACACTACCTACAAGTAAAGTGCTTTTGAAAGGACTTGACAATGTCATATTCTTGCTTGCCCAGCTTATTGGACCGTCCAGGCCTTCTCAAGGGAATCTTTGGAAATCATATCCAAATTATCAAAGCTAGTCCAAGATGCTTTTACATAAATTGGTGGTAAAAGAAATAGAGTCCAACATACCTTTTAAAATTTCATTTAAGTCCTTTTTTAGCCAGAACTTCCTCAGTGTAAGTTTACTTAGAACAGGTGAAGAATTTAAGATCATTTAGATTTTAAGTGCACGTAAAATCTTATATGTCTACAGTATCTTTTACATCATTATTTTATACTTTACATCTTTATAATATTATATTTATGAAAGCCCAATTTATAATTATGAAAAGTTGAGGGGCAGTTGCAAAATTCTTTGAAAAGAAAATATATTATTTTTCTTACATTATAGTGCTGGAAACATACTTTAACATGCATTGTAATTAGACCTGAATGGGAACATTTGTTTCTTGTAAGTAAATCATTTAACTCCAACAACCAGTATGTAGATAAACGTGCTCCAAAAATAATTGACAAGAACATTAAGGCATATATTTGATGCTCGATTTTTGCAACTAAAAACCACGCGACTCATTGATGCATGAATACAAGTAGAAGAAAAGCACAGTACCTTTTAGAAATGACTAACAACTAAGGCATAGAATCCCACGAAAAACGTCAGTAATCGTTCACATTTAAACACTGTTCATGATTTCTAAACTCAGTATTGCGAAGTGTTCGAGATCATGCTGAGCAAAAAAGGTCTAATTACAGTTACTGTAAACGACAGCTCTCGGAGCTTGTATGTTTCGAGGACTGCTGGTGTTTTACTATGTCCCAAAACTTAATGTATCGTATGGCAAGAAGTGCCACAATTCCACAGTAATTATTATCCTCAATATAAGAATTGTCCGATTCAATCGCTGTTGTCTGTTGCCTGATCATTAGGTTTCAACTCTGCACGTTGTCCTAATCTGATGGTTAATACAAGACATGATTATTTCTCCATAGCCCAAGTTGGGTGGCATTCGGACTGCTTGGCTTTTGAGTGACATCGTGGCAAACAAGTACTGTATATAGTGTATTTTTCGCATAAAAGGAATAATGTAACGGCAGAGCACACACCGTATAATGATTCAGCTCTCGTAACTCATGATCAACAGCAGTTGCAAGAACTTTCCTGTGTTTTGCTACAATCAAAAGCAGTAAACATAATCGCGCAAAGATAAGTCGGGAGGAGAGCGATACATTCGATCCTCACACCAGCTGGTAATGGCATAATAGAGAGGAACATCACCAAGATTGTAGGTTATCAAGTTAAAAAACAATCGTTGTTGACGCCACTGAAGTGATTCAAATCAAACAAGTGGTTGCAGCTACGAATACTCTAGATGAAGACCTGGGTCCATTAACAAATCTCACGTCTTATCTGGACCTCCAGTAATAGATTCATTCTTCGCCGCAATATTTGGCAATTTCTTAATGTCAAGCTTACTTCTTCTTCTTGGCGTCCCCGGCGGCCTTTGTCTGGGACCAAGCAAATGCAGGTCGTGAGACACTTCATTGTAAACATACTCATAAACGCACAATAAGAATGCAGGAGAAAACATGATAACCTCCGGTAGCGTAGCTTCAGTAATGAAAAGACCTGAACTTAATATAACTTAGGACAATAATTCCAACGAATGAAAACGAACCTTCTTCACACCCCTGATCTTCTTCGATCGGTTCTTGCGCTCCTTGATCTGCTTCCTCGACTTCTCGACCTTGGTTGCCAATCCATTCTGCACATCCCCAACACCCAAAATTTCAATACTTAACACTGAGACAACCTAAGCGTGTAGCCATTCAAGAGAAAAGCCGAGACCGCTCAAATTTTCACTCCTCGACACCATAAGCACTCCACATGATGGAGACAGAAAACTCACCCTGATCAATCTGTACTTCGGCTCGTATTTCTTGGCAGAGTCAACAGAATCGTAGATGAGACCGAATCCAGTGGACTTGCCACCTCCAAACTGGGTCCTGAACCCGAACACGAAGATAGTCTGGGGATCCCGCACCTCGTACAGCTTCGCGAGCTTCTCCTTCAGCTCAGCCTGAGTGAAAACCATCGAACCTCAGCTCCGTCCTCCAACAAAACCCTAACTTCGACTAAACCCAAAAATGTGCCATTACACACCACACAACACATAGAGCTTCCAGTGGGCCACTCACCTTGGAGACATTGGCACGACCAGGGTGCAAAACATCAATAATCTGCCAACACACACAAACAGAACGCCCTTCCCATAATCAATACGAGAAAAATCCAACACTCAAGCAACTCACGTAGACATCCTTGCAGAGAGGAGAAAAAAATGACGAACTCGTCGCTTACGAATTGCTTGCGCGCCAGAAGGCGGTTGGTCATGAACTTCCGGGTGCGGACGGTGCAAGCTTTGTCCGCCATGGTTGCAGTGAGCGAGCGAGCGATGCCGCGGAGGATCGATGGCGCTGCCGAAGAAGAAGCGAAAGAGGGGCTATACGTGGGCACCAGGGCCTGTCTTACCTCCCTCCCTCCCTTCCCTTCCGACGGCCAGCTTCGCGAAACCCTAATCTCGACGATTTCAAGGTCCGGAAGGAGAGAGGGGGTTCTCCGTCCTCCGTGGACTCAGTTTATATGTGTATGTGTATGGAATGAATTTAGGGTCTTAGTTTACGTAGAAATTAATATTAATATATATATATATATATATGATAATCTTATTATCATCATTATTCAATAGATGGTATTTATTTATTTATTAAGTAAAATTTTCGTTAAAGATAAGTGCTAGTATAAAAAAAATCATATTAGTAAGTAATTTTTATACTTTAACAAAGTTATAAATGCCATCTATTGAATAATGATGAAAGAATCTCAAATTTTGGAATCAAATTGCAAACTATATGCATATATTTATATTTATATTTATTTATTGTTATTGTATTGTAAAATTTTCAAACTATAAAAGTAGTTACGATTAAAAATATTTTTTAAAGAATAATCTAAATTTGTGTTAATAATTAATTTATATGTATATTTGTAACTATATTTAAACCTATAATTATTTTTTTTATATTTTTTTATAAATAAAGAATGGTTCTATTATTTAATCTATAGTTCTTACACTAAAAACATTGTGAAGGCTTTTTGCTGTTAGAGATAAATGTGTACAAACATAATTTAATTTGTACCATAGGAGGTAGCCACAATCTGTAGTGTGATCAGATTAAGACATATTAAAATTATATGTCATAAAATCCTTGTCTATCACAAGTTATATTTGTTAACTAATAAAATTTCTTTGTGAGATCTCTCATTCTAAGTTATCCAATTTTTTTGGATCCAATTAATCTAAATGTAAGCCCAAGATAAATGACATTCCAAAGGATATATAAGAATCTTTGTATTATTAAGACATTTATAAATATAAGTATATATATAAATATATATATAACAACTAAGGGCCTATTATACAGCATTGCATTACCAATAAATATTAGATTGTCAAACTAGACTATTTTATTCAATGTATGTATTCTAGAAAATATTAGAAATAATTATTTTACATCACATAAATCTAATTATGTATTTTTAGATATAAATTTTAAGTAGTAACTTTCAAAGAGATAATAAAGGCGTATATATAATCTTTTTACTTTGAGTTCAATTTTGTAAGTTGAAGGACTGGTTATACCAAGTTTGACATCGTTATATTGTAAAAGATCTCTACTATTCAATATAAAATAACAAAGATTGAACTTTGACTCCTCCAAAATTCTACAATATAATAGAATTTATTTTATAGCTATATAATTAAGGGTTGGACACCACTAAAATTTACATGCAATTTAGAAAATTTAGATTGGTGGTTGCATCAAAGATGATGGATGTATACTTGATATTTTTAATGATAGCTTAATTTTCTTCATGATTTTTTGTTTTTAGTAAGTGGCTGAAATTTTAATTTGAGAAGAAATTTGTTATATTTAAGTGGCCTATCTAATATGAATTTGTCATGACTATATGAATTAATGCAATATAAAGCACCAAGAATATGTGTGTGTATATATATATATATATATATATATAAATTGATACAAACTTACTTTGGAATTAAAATACCACTTTTGGCAATAATTTCTATCTAACAATATAGAAGAGAGTAATTAATTTAAGGCTATGAAGAATAAAAAAGTTATAAGAAGTTTTCATCTTTTTGTATGTTTGAATTTTTAATTAATTATCTCATTATTTAATTTCAACATTTAAAGATTTTAATTAATCTTATCTTATAATTAGATATTTTACATTTTTTTCTTCTAATATTTGTATAATTTTTATAACAATATTATAAGACTAATGGTAGAAATGTACAAAAACATTACAATAGACAATGTAAAATTAGGCTTACATTAAAATAAAAAGAAAGAAGGAAGAGAAGGGAAGAATAATTGGATTTATTTTGAAATAAGGTTTTTACATACCACATTTATTAGTAGAGCATATTTTATAGCAATGTTATTTATGAATTAAGTTCTATTAATAGAATTGTGTAATAAAGATTTATGTGACTTAGATAAAAGGAAATGATACTTTAAATATGTAATTTAGTAAAATGCAGAATATTAAAAATTTATATCGATTCTAACAAAATTTCTATCATTTTAAGAATACAAATATAAACCATTTTATTTATTCAATAACATTTAGAACAAACTAAGACATTATAGCTATAAATGACAATTATTCGTTTAAATAAAGAAGATTTTGGATTCATAGATATATATATATATATATATATAGTTATATGTGTGTGTGTTTAATCAAATTTAAACTATTCAAACGACAAAAAGATAGAAGAGAGATGAAAATATATTTTTTTCTTTAAAAAAATAATTTTGATAAATAAAAAAAACAAAATTTGTATTTAAATCAATTCCTTTAAATAGAAAGTTTTAAAAAGTAATAAATGCATTCAAAATAAAGATTTAATTGAGATTTGTGTCCTATAATTTTAAAATATTAATCATTTTTAGTATTTTAAAAAACTAAATAAAAGCATAATGCCAAAATATTGACAAAATATTGACAAAATATCCCAATTGCTGATCAATTTGTCTAAATTGATTTTAAATTTATTCATTTTTCTATTATCCAGCTATAAAATGAATTATTGTGATATATATATATATATATATATATATATTTATTTATATTGATATATAATTTTATAGTCTTTAATTTGTAACAATAAATTTAAGTAACATGAATCAAATTATATTGCAAATGATTATGGATTATATGTTCTATGATAATTTGGTATTCTTGTAGACTAAATAGATTGATGGTATTATAAAAGAATTTTTTTATATGAAAGATGCAAATGATAAAAATTATATTTTTCTAATAATTAAATTCTTTATCTTTGTTCTTTTCAAAAATAATTGTGGATGACAATGTTATCAAATGATGTTTCTAAGTAGTTGTACTTAGAATGGTTGATACTCAAATATTTTGTCCATTTCATGGTAGTCCAAAACATATTCTTTATAAAGACCAAAAAGAAATAAAATACAAAAAACTATATTCTATAAAGTTTTAGTTCTACAAATTTTTATTTATTTTTATTTTATTTTTTATTTTTTGATGATAATGTTATTGTAGAGAAATTGTATGATGAATAATTTTAAATAAGAGATACATTGGATGTAATTCATGGGCCATGGTATATAAAATTATATTCAATCTAGTCACAAGAACAATTTTGTAGAGTTTTATAAACCAATAATCTGAAAATTTCTGCCAAATGTTTAGAATTTCAATACAATACTTATTATTTTTGTAACTTGCTAGATTCAAAATTGAAACGTCTTCTAGGAGGTTTGTAAAACATCATTGGTTGTTTTTAGATGTATTGAAGGAATATTTTTTATTTAAAAATAAATAATGCTATATTATAAGTGAGTGAAATATGTACAATAAATACATCAAGAACTACCCAAATTATATGAGGGATTTTAGGATAAATCTTATGTATGGCTTGACCTTCATCATGTATTTAATTGTAGATAAACTTGAAAATATCAAAAAAGCTTTTAAAAAATAACATGATATGACTCAACTTTGAATAATATTAGGTTGATTATATATATATATATATATATATATATATATATAGAATAAGCTTTTAAAAGGTGAATATATTACAAACTATTACAACTAAGATCATATTTGTAATTTTATATAAAAAAGAATTTTCAATACCAATATGAAGTTTTTAGATGTTATTGGTGGCCTTGTAAGCATTATTTATTATCAATTCATATTAGAGAATTTATAATTTAAGCAAATTCTATACTTTGATTAGCTACATGATTCTTATACATTAAGTCAAGAGTTGTTATTTTAAAATTTAGTCATTGTTGATGTTAACCATCTATCACAGATATATATATCTACTATAATTGTTATCTAGGTAATATGAATAGGTAGAATTAGGTATAAGTAGGTTAATTTCATAATACCTTTTAGAGAAGCTTTTTAGATGTTTTTTTGACTTTACATATGTTTTTAGTTGATTAATAGGTTAGAAACTTGGTCAACAAGCTATTTATATGCCATATCTGTTGGTAGCTTGTAAAACAAGCTAACTATATGGTGTCTATATAAAAAACTTGCATTACAAGTCAAGATACATATCGTGCAAAGTCAACACGTTTATGGAGGTCCTATAGAAAGTTGTCACATAGATCTTAGGTAGATAATATATATAAAGGTAAGAATGAAGCCTTCTTCACTCTTGTCAACTCTTTTCTTATTTCTTGTCTAGTTTCAAGAGTCACTAGTTTTTTTTTTTCTTCTTTTGGCAATAGCCATTCTAATTTCGTGTTAATGTACATACTTCTTTATTTTTATTTTTTGTCACTTTTCTTTTGACACAAATTTTTCAGGTTTATGCATCTTCTTTCAATTCATGTCCTTGACAGATTGACAAGAGTGCACTTATAATATTAGAGCTTTGTCTTCTCTTCATTAAGAATAGATTATCCTTTTTTTTTGATGAGACATAACCATATTAGAAGTTAGGAATTACCCTCTTCTAAACTAATATTGTTCTTAGTATTTTCTTTGTTCTGAAGTCTTTTTTTTTGCTTGTCTTGAGTAATATTAGATATATTTTTTTTCTATGTATTATCATGATAGAGCTTCTTGAAATGAAGAGTATAATGACACAAATACAAGAATAATTGAGAGAGTTCATGCTTGCGATGCATCAACTTAGTTTATCACTACCAAAAATAACAAAAATGGTAAGAAATGAAGATACAAACATGATTGGAGCCACTTCAATATCCATACTAAATCACATTCGTTCTTCTATTGTAGAACATCCTTCCAGTGTTAGAAAACTTAGAGTTGCCTTACTTGAGAAGTTTGATGGTACAAGATTTAAGTTTTAAGGATTTATCAACCAAGTGCACCTTGTGATTGAACTTCAACCTCAAAGCTATTAAATCTCAAGATCACAAATTAGATTCATTGGTACACTTCTTTTTGTTTTGGTATTATTATGGTTTATATCTTTTCTTGAATAACAAGA